ACATATATATTCAGGTACGTCCTTATAGTCCGGAAAGTAATCAGAATACAGTTACAGTTACGTGTCTTAAAAAAGTAACATATTCAGATTACTTTTAGAATACTTTATTTTTCCATAACAGATGGGTATGTTTTGGTGAACAGGAGACACTTATTTTACTGTTTTAATGGCTTATCAAGAACTCAAACACAACATCTTGGTGTCATTCTGGACAGCTCCCTCTCATCTGCACCCCACATAAAAAACATCACCCGGACTGCATTCTTTGTACTGTCTTAAAACCTTTCCTTGGAATATGTTATGAATTGTAAGGTGTCCTTGGGTGCTTTGAAAGGTGCCCCTAAATAGAATTAATTATTTATTATTTATTATCTGAAACGATGTAATAACTTTTAAAACTGTTTCCAGTCACTTGCCCCATGCATTCAGCAGCAGCAGGCCATTCACTTTGATTTTATCCCGTTATGAAATGTCATAATTTCGACAATAAATAAATGCTACATAAACGTTATCTTGCACATTTGATCTAACCATCTCCGTTTCTAACTTTCAATATATTTTAAAAGAGATCTCTCTCTCTCATCTGCGTGCGGGGGCGGGGCCTCACAGACACGCTGCATCTCTCTCGCTCACAGACATGCTGCAGCGCTGTGCAGTGTGCACACAGTTCTGCCGGTAATGAATATTACATTTTGTGAGGAAACTTTTCCACCAATAATTCCAATAAGTATTCCAAAATGTATTCACTTCAGGTTTACGAAAGGAACTGTAATCAGATTACTCGTTTTTCAAATGTAACGCCAGCTGAATACAGTTAGCCTACTTGATTTTTGTATTCTGATTACGTAACGCCGTTACATGTATTCCGTTACAACCCAACCCTGCTTCTAGGCTACTGTCCCTCCGCAGCCCCTGCCTCTCTGTTGGACTCTGTCGCAGCGGGGCTGCTGCTGTGGTGCAGAGCGCATTAACCAGACTCTTCACAACGAAGGATCACTTCTTCTTCAAGGCAGGGAAGGTTTCGCAGTACGCAGTCTACTGACCCGCAGCTGCTGCCTCTCTGTTGGACTCCGGTACTGCACCTTACTCACGAGACGTTGTAAAAAAAAATGGGTGGGGGGCGAACGCAGTTACCACTCCGCCAACGCCACAGTCACCCCCGCCGTGCGGGCCGGATGAGAATGTCTTGCGGGCCGGATGTGGCCCGCGGGCCGCCAGTTGGTGGTCACTGCAGTAATGCATTGATCAGTTAGACCTGACAGGAAGAACAGAGCCTCAGCACAATGTCATCTAAGTGTCTCTTGAGAGGTAAAGCCTAAACTGACTGGAATCCTCTTGACTTGCACAAGGAAATCTACAGTAAATCCACACAACAGAAAGTGTAATCATGCGTGCAGTTTGAGAGAAACACCCAACTGTCATTTAGGAAGATATACAACCATTATAAAGGCCGGACCTCTCAGAGAAATGTGTTATTCAAATGAAAAAATATGGCAGGGCTGCCATTCCAGTCCAATAAACTGTTAATGATGAAGCAAATTGAAAATGTCAGAAGGTATACAACATGCTGAAAGGAATTCTCTGCAGCATGATGAATGGGGCTGCATATTGGATATTTATGAGTTATTATGAGCCTACATGGCTTCGGCCGTTATTCCATTTAAAGCTCATTTTAACTGGCACCTGGACCACAGTCCTGGAGACAAAATAACGTGTTATGACACTGAAGGCAAACTTTAGCACCATTGTTGAAGCAGTGGTTAACATATTGTCTCGATGGAAAGGAAATTCTTCACAAAAGGAAAGCACAAAGCCTAATTCATAACGATTGTCTGCAGGCCTTAATGTGTGTAAGAGGGTAATGTGTTATAAGGAAAGAGTGACAGTTAAATAACATCCTCACACTGTACAAATGCAAAGCATGTGGTATTCTCTAGGGACATCAGCACCTTGCTTATCCACTGTTCACAGAAAGTATCATATTGTGACAGAAGCTCAGAATGGACCATTAGCAAAAACGCTCTATTGTTATTTTTCTAATCCACTTCTGCTCATTATTTCCTTTGCTTGGCACTTTTCTCCACTCATCTCTTCTCTCATTATGCAGAGCACTTTTCAGGGGATGACGCTCCAACAGCCTTTTTATTTCTGAGGGAAGATCACAGGGCTGGCAGATTCTGGTGGTTTAAGTGTCGATGATAAACGTTGTGTTTTTTTTTTGTAAGGGGTTAATCATTACAGATGACATAAAACATTTAAAGGCTACACAAATCGGACTAGTGCAACTTAGTCTAGAAGTTATTTAATTCATCCACACCAAAGAGACTGATTAAACAGTACTTATAATTGCCAAATATTTATACCGTAATAGGCTTTATCATGATTTATTGGGAGAAAACTATTCCTCAATAATCAGACGTTCATATATCATGAATGGAATGATCCTGTATTTCATAACTGAGTTTCCACTGCCAATATTCAACTGTGAGATCGTTATCCGGGTCTCCTTAGATCGAACATAGATTGTCATGACATGCTTACTTAAAATTCAATACCGTGGATTTGGAGTTAAGTATATTGCCCAAGGAAATGTTGACATGTTGAAGGTTGAGCCACTCACCCTCTTCTTAGATGCCAATGTTCTCCCTGATTCACAACCGCCCAGATCACAAGTCTTATTGGAATGTAAGGCTTTTGGACATTTTGGGCAAATGTATGTGCTTCATATTCGCTGATCAAACCAGTATTTCCCCTAGCTGTAGATTGTATTCTCACTGTAGTTATGGAAGTATTTGCATTAGACGTTATACATATAAAGGGGATTATCCTCCGTCCCCTATACGTTTGAACCGTGATACCTCTGAGTCTCTATTTGCAGCCTGTTGAATATACACTGCCTCTGTTGGAGCTGAGGAGGGCTGTGTGCTCAAGCTCTCAGACTAAGTGACAGAGCAAACACAACCCAGCACGCACGCACACACACACACACACACACACACACACACACACACACACACACACACACACACACACACACACACACACACACACGCGCGCGCGCGCGCACACACACACACACACACACACACACACACACACACACACACACACACACACACACACACACACTCCTTTTACTAGGTTTCTAATGGGCTTCACAGTTGCTGGAGGGTCACAACTGCTTTTCCCTTCCCAGATTCCCCTCTCTTTACAGGCGGTGCGGTCAGCATGGCCCACCATGTGTACAGTAACTCCAGATCTGACGCTCCGGGGAAGTCTCCACGTCCGTCATGAGGATGTTTAAAGAGATGCAAGCAGGTATTTGGAGGTGACGACGAGTCTGTAAACGCCTCTCAGTTTGTCCCTGAGGCAGTGGTAGTAAATGTAAAGACTCTGAAGCTGCTTTTGCTAACAAATGAATGAAAATAACAGTATACCATACAAAGTATAGCAGAATGACCTTTAATAAAGAGCTAACTGTCGGCTCTGTTTCACTTGGGACACAGCTGAAGAGAAACACAGAACTAAGGTCCAGTTTCAGTCTGACGGTGTGGAGGCGAGCTTCACTTCTGTATCTGCTCCTCACATCCTGTTGTCTCATCAACATGCTGCCTGCATTTTTATAACCCCTTCCACCTTTTCTTTAGCTTCATCATCACAACAGTTTCCACTTCTGCACAGAAAATATCACAACCTCACACTAACGGCACTTAACTAGTTTTTCTTTAATCGTTACGATCACGATGACTCCCACCCTCTGCACATAGTTTAAGAGTTTAAGCTTCATCCTTCGGGCCGGAGGTTTGTCGTCCCAAAGTGTAGAACACAGCGGTATAAAAACAGCTTTAATCCAGCAGCTATTACTCAAATGAACAAGTTATAGCAGTGTCACACTATGGAAGCAATGCTTATTTATATATCAACTTTGTGGATTGCTCATGTTTGTAGGATGTGATGGAGCAGGGGGTACTCTTTTAAGAGATGTGTCTGTTGTCTTAAAAATGTGTGTTATAATGGATCCCTTGTCTTTTATCTGCAAAGCAAACCTACCTACGGGCACAAATAAATAACCTGAATCCGAATCTCATACTCCGGGTCTGAAAAGTGAAGCCAATGCAACAGGTAAGAGTATATGGTCCCAATCTCTAGTTTTGATTCTTCTTCAACAGAACATGATGTGTGTTTCTGTGAATATATTCCTATTAAGAGTCAAACAGACCACAAAGCAGTGGTAAGGGTCTTGCTTACCTTGTAATTGTTTTTTTACAGATTGTGTTTTCAGTTAATAAAAGTGATATTTCTAACCTAATTTTAGCTTGTTTAAAGGTGTTTTTAGCTCCACCATCTCCGGTCATTTCGGGTACCAAATAAAGATGTCGACCGACAGAATATGCCAAACCAAAGTGCCCCAACCAATGGGTGACATCAGGGTGGGCGGCTACTTCAAGTTCTGACATACACTGTCACGTCAATTGTCTTCTGTGTTTGAAGTCATGTTTAATCCCAGAAATAAATAAATGCATTTTTATTGCTGTCGTACAAAAACACTATGAGCATATTGTCAAAAGGTTTCATTTTATGGCAACTAACCCATGCATCCTAATTTCACATCCTCTTTTGTTTTAAAAATCTTAAACCACTTCCTGTTTCTACACTTGTAAGTGCCCCGCCTGAGGACAGCCATGTTACCTACAATACTTATTGGTTACTGTAGCCTGTGGCCTTTGACATCAGCAGTTAGCCACAGCCGGCTAAACTCAACAATAGCGTCCAACAAGTTAGCATCGAGCAAACTACATGGTAAACAACTAAGGGACCATTCTCCTCCATCCCACACACAGGTTACTAAAGATCTCTTCCTAGATGTTAAATGTGCACTTCTCTGTAGGGCCAGTTATTATCAACTTCTATTTAGGGTTTTATAAATATGAATAGTTTATTATTATTTATTATCATGAATTATTTTTATAACCAGACTTGCTCATACTAGAACCCCAACATTTTGGTGGTCCCTTTTAATACTGTCAAAACTTCTGAAAAAGTGAATTGAAACATTTTCATGAAAACTGCATGTTTTATGACCCCTTTATGTACTCTTGTTTAAAATAGCTTATCAGATTTACATTAGGTATCCAGACTAGGAATCAGCAATTTGCCTCTGAATTTTGTGACCATATTTAGGCTTTTTCCTGCAATGCTGTAAATGTTCACATTTATACCTAGACAGAGTTTTCCTGAACAGTTTTTCCTGCTTTCTGTTCAAGAGTGTGCAGAGCGTAAATATGACAGGCCTGTATTTAAACTGAGAGAACATGTGAGAGTTCAGGAGAAGATGTTTATGGACCATGTCATGGTCTGCTGCTTCACATTCTTTAAGTCACGGATGATAAGAGCATTCTTATAACAACGAGAGACAGATAATATGTTTCTTTGGCCAAATGTCTTTTTACATTAGTACTTCAAATCACAGAATAATGACAGAATTTAGTTGACGTGTCCAACGACGATCAACATGTTGGCTATAACGACACTTACGCAACTAGCCGAGATTCCTCCAGTGAAAGGAGCACTATAGAAATAAAAGTTATTCTTGTGTTTGATATATACATGTAAAACTGTAATGGTGTGGAAAAGAAATCCACATACATTTTTATTGGGTTAACTGCGCAGTCTGTAATGATTTAGTACCGCAAATGATATCGCTGCTAGCTAGCTAACTTTCCCTTCCCAGAGTCTCCTCTCTTTACAGGCTGTGAGGTCATCATGGCCTCTGACTGAGTTTTGGGAAGTGTTGAGGAGCCCAACATGTGGTGATGACACAGTCGCTGAGTGCAATTTCCGACAGCATCTCTTCCATCTTTTTGGAATGCACTTAATGTTAACATCTGTATGCTAACGTGCTAACTATGATAACGCTAACATGTGGTTGTTTGAAAGGTAACAGACAGCCCAAGCTGGAGTTTCTGGTCATGAGACAAGAAGCTAAAGAACAACTAATGTAAAAGTATGATGTCACACACACGGAGGTGTGTGGTGCAGTGGAATAGTGCGTTGGTGTTCGGATCAGGGGAGCACAGGTTCAAACCCCACTGCAGCCAGCATGTCGTTGTGTCCCTGAGACACTTCCCCTGAAATTACTCCTGTGGGGATTGCCCACAGTATTGAGTATGTAAGTCGCTTTGGATAAAAGCGTCTAACAAGTGACATGTCAGTGCTGTCTGCTATTTATCTTCAGTCATGACCTCCTCACACTGAACACATGTAATCAGTTGTAGCAGAAAGAGAAAGAAGAGAGTAGACAAACTCTTACCGTGGCTCACTGAGTGCAGTTTGACCGTTTTGGAGATCTTCTCTTCGTAGTTGCTCGTGCATGACTTCCGGCTGACTTTGGACTTGAACAGAGTGTTGACCAGCGTGGACTTCCCCAACCCACTCTGACCTGCAGACACATAGAACCAGAGCTTTAAACATCCTCTAAGTATCTGTAACGCTGGGTTGTATACTCCATGTCTCCTTATCTGAGAAGAAGCTGAAGACCCTGACAACTTGGATTAGTGGTTCAGACGTACAACAACTCCCCCAAACCCCAACCACATATTAAATACTAAACACTAGGTTTCCTGTCATGGTTAGCAACAACTCTCTATATATAGTACGTCAGAATCAGAATTAGAAATGCGTTATTATTTTTGCTTTATCTTTATAAAATTAGTAAGAGTGCTCAAAAAAAAGATAAACTTAAATATAAACATAATAGTAATGGAATACGGACTTAATGGAATAATTCACTCATTTGGACATCAATTACTCACCACTCTTTTGATTAAATAAGAACTAAAGTTGTAAAACATTTTTAAAGCTGCTTTAATAAATATTTGGAGGTGAGAAATAGTCAGAGTTCCCACTCCACATGAATGCTTGTGTTTTTCTCAGAGTGCTGTGTGTCTGAATTGGTAACTGTATAACCATAGTAGGTTTATAAGATGATACAAAGATGGCAAACTAGTCTACTGCTGTTCTGCACGATCGCACAGAAACTAAAATGCAAATGGATTTGTTCCCAGTGCAACAGGCGTGTGTCGCATTCTGTCTCTTTTCATATCTACATATTCTGAATTCAATAGATATTGGTTATTAGAATCACTTAAAGAGACCTCCTCTAGTTCAGGTTTGATCTAGATTGAATTATCAAGAGGAAACTTCTTGTTTCAGTCCAACGGCAGGGGAAGTGTTTATGATCTCTTCGTGTGGCAGGAAGGAACGACAGCCCCAACTCTCCAAACCACTTCCCTTCAAGAATCATACTTCCTCTTCCAGTACCAAAAGCAAACTATATATTTCAAAGAGGAAGAGACCCAGCAGCCACATATCATTACACAGAGCATATTTAGTATATAGGACATTGCTTCTGAGTTTATTTGTATTTAAGTGAAAAGGGAAAGCACAAAGAAGTAAAAGGAAATCCTACAACCTGTCAGTGACCTGGTGGCATCATGTGAGCTTCGCCGTTGGTCAACTGTAAGCTTGCCGCAATGCAGGGTGGGTTTGAATCGGGTAGAAGTTGGCTAACACCCACACATACACTTTCCTTTATGTGTTAGACACTGTTTCTACATATGAAAGAAAACATATTGTTGTGCATTTGGTGTCTTTTAGAAACCTGCCAATGACAGGCAGGCAACCCTGGCTGATCTTTACATGCATTTTTAAATGTTGAAACATTTATCAATTTAAAAGTCAAATTACCTAGTGACTCTATTCTACTTTTCTACTTTACTTACTCCCTTGATACCTTCCCTCAGGGTTGCCTGTCTGATACTTGAGGTTGGTACTACACATTTCTCTGAAATAAATACTTTAGTCCCCTCAGAGCTTATGAAAAACTGCCAATAACGGCCCAATGGGGAGTAGCAAAGCTTAGAGCTCCTAAAGTTACGTTAGGCAGTCAAACGCTTGGGGATTAAGAAAGCCTGTCATTGAAGCCACCCTGGTCTGGTGGATTGATAAAACCTGGTCATGTAAGACCTCCTTAGAGTGAAACTCTTCTGATCTTAAACTGCATTGCGCCACAGCATGGGAGCGCATGCAGACCAACAGAGATAGTACCTCTTGACTTTTTCTTTGTTAATAAAAGACCAATTTTGGGACAGTTTTAGCATTTATCAGAGAGATAGAAAGGGGAGACAGAGGGGATAATGTCCGTAAAGATCCACAGGTCGTATTCAAACCTGGGTCCCTACCAGGTGAGCTATTGGAAACTCGGAGACACCTCGCCATACAGAACACTTTGATAATTAAATTTGTGTAGCTCTTCTGTGTGATTTGTGTCACATTATATCGACTGTACATATGGTACCGTAGTTACAAACCGGTATTGATAACAATGGCTAACCTGAGGTGACTGCTAACGCAGTAAACAAGGAGACAACTTTGCTGCGGTCATCCCTCTTCTTCTGGCTTGTGCTACTGGAGTGAGGTAAACACACCCAGTTCTGACCTCTGAATTTAAATTTAAATGGCATGCAGAATTTGCCGCAAAAGGACTTATTGAGCAAGGATCGAGGCAAAGTGTCAATCTACATGCATCACGGAAGGCAGACAAAAAAACTGGCAAATCCTCAACATCAGACACAGGCATTCTGTAGACACTGCACACACTCGTAGTATTAGTTCTTTGTGCAATACATGAGCACAAAGATGATGTCACTTAACGAAGCAGGAGTTGTGTTTCAGACTCACCGACCACCATGATGTTGAACTCCAGGCCGGCCTTCATGGTCTTGCGCCTCATCTGGTCCAGCACCGCCTCGATGCCCACGTATCCGAACAGGTCAGTGCCTCGGATGAAGCTCACCTGCAGGCCGTGCCCTGACTGGCACAGCTCCACCTTCACCTCGGCCTCCACCTCCAGCTCCATCCCCATCTCCTTCTTCAAGTCTTCTTCCTCCATTCCCTTCTCCTCCATCTCTGTACCGACCACCACTCCGTTCTGTCCTGTTTCAGGTATGGAATTCTGGGAGTCCATGAGGGCTGGTTGTCCTGGTTGGCACTTGCTGTCGTCTTGCAGTCCCATGATGCCCCTCTCCCTCTCCTCTCCGTCCTCCATTGGGCTGAGTGAGTCCGTCTCCAGATCTCCAGTAGTTTCTGTTCATACAGAAAGAAAGAGTTCAGACATCAGAATCTCCTTATGAGTCCCAGAGAGGGGAAATGTACATTGTTACAGCAAAAGTAAAGAGACAAAATATTAATTAAGAGGCATGGGTAAAATATCATAGATAGAAATTACACAAATAAAAATGGAAAAAAGTACCCCTCTTGGTGGACAACAATAAGTACAGTACCAGGGGTTTTTATTTTTTGTAAAATAAAAATAAGTGTAGCATGTAGAGATAGTGTGATAGCAGCCAGGTTACAGTAATGAAAGTAAAAAGTATATCGCAGTTATTGATAGTGATAATACAAATTATAAATCGGTAGAATATATATATTGCACATAGGTGATATTGCACGACAGGGGTGTTATACTGTATGTGTGGAGGTCTACTAAAGTGTGACTGCTGCAGGAAGTAGCTGCGTATCTCTCCGTCATTGATGTGGCTATCTGAGGGTTCAAGTGGGCATCTTTGGGTATATATAAGCTGTCCTCCCTGCAGGCAACATGTCCCCCCAAGACATGTCTCCTCTGAGCAGCTACTTCAGTGACATGCTGCTTCCCCCCCTCCCCCCGGCTGTCTCAGGGAGAGATACCACAGGTCCTTCCTTCCTGCAGCGGTCAGACTCTAAAACCACTACGGCCCCTGGTAGACCCCCCCACAATACACACTGTTGAGATCGTGTGCAATACACACTCTTTATTATTCTCCTGCTACTTCAGTACTATGCAATAATCATTTTATGTGCAATACAAACATACATTATTTACAATTTCAACCCCTTATAGGTTCACTTAAAAATGCTGCTACTTATTTTGATTATACTGAGTATTACTAAAATGTGCTTGTCTCTATAATTTACAGAAGAAGATGAGAGTTTCTGAAATTAAAGTTGGAATTGTGAGAAAAAGTCAGAATTCTGACTTTTATCTTGAAACTCTATGAAAAAATAACTCTGACTTTAACTTCAGACTTTCTTTCAGAACAAAAAAAAATGCACTTCAGATACAAACATAAATTGACATTTGGTCCTATTCCTCTTACGTAATATTTCATACATTACACTTACTCTTATAATTTGTTTTACTTTTGTCTGTACTGTCACTAACGCTGTAACTATATTGGACTTCTAAAGGACTTCTGGAAAAGCTGTCTGCTACTATAAGATGGAGAGTGGGGGGTGAAAGGTTAACAAGGTGGATGCATTGGGCTAAATTCAGTTTTACTGAACATGCAACATGTAGCTGCTGTTGAACACAGAACATGAAGAGAAATACTGTAAGAAGAACCATTTCTGCAAAACAGCTCCGTAGACTTTGCTGTGACAGGTGTGAGCAAAAACAAAGAGGAGGCTGAGAGCTAGGTGAGGCTACGTCAGGATCAGGCTGTGTGGAGCAACACTGACTGGAGTGCTGTGATGATGTATTTATGCGTCAAATAATAGTTCCGGCACATAACTCGCCCTTTAAAACCCACGGATGAAACAACAAGATATAACATGTTTGTGAGCTTTAGAGATGTTGGTATTTTTTAACTTGGGACAGAGGCAGGCTAGCTGTTTATGCTAAACTAGGCTAATCTCCAGCTCATTGACATGACACTATTACCCTTACTATTACCTCATCTCACTTTCGTAAAGAACGAGTAAAAGCTACATTTATCCTGTTCAACGGGTACATGTTACAAAGGTTTACCTTATTAACACACACACACACACACACACACACACACACACACACACACACACACACACACACACACACACACACACACACACACACACACACACACACGCTGGTCTAAGTAACTGAAGTCTATCCTTCTCTTATCGGTGTGTGTGTGTGTGTGTGTTTGTGTGTGTGTAGTCTTGTCTAGTCAGTGCTATAAGAGGATTGGATAGAACTGACAATCCCCCTGTGAACTTGTAGTTGTGCGTGTCCGTGTGTGCATGTGTGTGTGTCTGTGTACTTGTATGGACTTACAGTGCAATGCACAATCGTCTGAAACCAGAATGACTGTGTATGTATGTTTTTGTGTTTCTGTATGACTCATTGAGCTGTGCCATCTTACGGATTGCACACACATGTACGCCACACACACACACAAACACACACACACACACACACACACACACACACACACACACACACACACACACACACACACACACACACTGTTGGTTAGTGTCAGTCCACATCATTTAATCAGCTGTAAATATCCACCTGTTCGAGCATTGGAACAGAACTAATCCCCCTGAGTCAGGACAGAGAGGAGTTTTTTTTTTTAAATCAGTCAGTTTCACACTTTACTAAAGCAGGAAGTGTTTCACTATTAACCAACAGAGCACAGATGGACATGTACTTGCTGTACCTTTTAACACATTGGTTTTTGCCAGGCTTGAAGGCTCTTTGTTGTCTATAGAAGAGGATTAGGGCCACTTTGATTTCTTTTTAGATCTTACCTGAAGACTATATTCTGAATTAATTCTCAGAATTCAACCTTATTAGAAAAAAGTCTGAATTGTTTTTTCCTCAGAACTCTGAGATTAAAGTCAAAATTCTGACCCTTGAGGCCTTTTTCTCAGAAGTAAAACAAACAAAAACTTTTGGTCAGCTTTTTAAAATATTTCTATGTGCCCTAATCCCCTTCCCT